TTACTTAATAGCATTAAATATTATTTAAAAACCAGCATGTTACATACATAATATAAATTACAGAATAAACCTGTACGAAAGATTTCGGTGTAATGCTGTCAACCTCATGCAGCCTGTTACTAGTGTCAACATGTTAGTTGTTACTTGTTAAGTTGTTACCAGTTACCACTTACAGGTATTTTTTCATGTTTCAGTTTGCTTACAGTTGTTTTTACAGTTATTTTTATGTTTCACCTTCCCTACATGGATGTCTACTTTAATCTACCAATCTCAAAAATAATCCACATATATATACAAATAAAAGACTGATTTTTCATATGTACATACATGTATATGTGGATAATTTTTGAGATTGGTATATTAAAGTAGACATCCATGTAGGGAAGGTAAAACATAATAATATACGTTTAAAAATTACTTTTTAAAGACAACACTTCCAAAGAATCCAGTGTCTCCAATCTTACAGATGTACAATGAATTTCTCATTTAATTTTCGAATATTATAAAAATTAATTTTTCAATTTTTTTAATATATAATTTTTTTTCAAAATTATTTTTTTATTAATTGATTCATGCATTGCCTCTGACTTCACACAAGTGTGCAAAATTTCAGATCAATTAGACAGGTAAAAGTGTGTCAAATATCAGTTATAAGATTTGTAGCGGACAAAATTATTTTTTCAATTTTTTTAATATTGAAAAAAAAAAATTTTAATTACTAAAATCATTTATTTTGACATTTGATTCATGCATTGTCTCCAACTTTACACAAGTGTGCAAAATTTCAGATCGATAAGATAAGTAGAAGTGTGTTAAATTTCGATTACAAGATTTGTAGCAGACAGACAGACAGACAGACAAACAGACAAACATGAAGTGAAATTAAAGAGAAGTGTTGTAATAATAATAATAATAATAATAATAATAATAATAATAATAATAATAACTAACTTTTATTTACTGTATCTAACCCGTACTAGTTCGGTTAGGTTAATTGCAATAAGGTTGCATTGATATGTTTTGTAAATGTTTATTGAGTAAATCCTAATAGCAGAACAATAAATATTTAGAGATTTCCAATAATTTTGGCCATTGCAGCGGCTAATGTAGCGGCGCTACATTTTACTGTAGCGGTAGCGGTAGCGCTTGCTACAATCTAGTGGGTGTAGCGGTAGCGGTAGCGCCCGCTACATTTAGAGCATGTAGCGGTAGCGGTAGCGCCGCTACATTTCAAAGTAGCGCTGCCCAGCTCTGCGGCAATGTCTGAGCGCTAATGTTCACTTTCAGGCTACTACGACATGAAAATGGTAGCAAACTCGAATAAATGTATAGATGCTGATAATGGAATTTTTTTGAAATATATCTGCTTTGGTTTTAGCATACACACGTAATGTTCTATTAAATTTAGATAATTCGTTACATGTTAATTCAATCATGAATTTCGTTTATCCTCTACGAATTCGTCGCTATGTCGGATGAGGTGTGTGAAGTTTTTACGGATTTTACATCAATCTTATTATGAAGCAGAAATATTACTTCTGATATGAATTATAATAAACATTCCGAAAGAATATTGTGTTGAGTTTACCATCGAATTGCGTATTTTCTATAATTTTTCATGAATGTACTTTAAAAAGCCGTTGTCTTGACCCATTCATTTGCATTATTGAAGCAAAAAATCTATTGAGTAGTTTTAACTTGAATACTTATGCTACTGAATTTACTATGCATATTTACGGAAATTGTGCACGATTTCTTAAACCTGATTGGCGGTCTCATTATTAATTACTGTCTAGCAGCACTATTTCGCAAATGGGATTGGCTGCGGAAATTTAAACGTATTGGAATTTGTAAGCGAGAAATAAACAAAGCTCAGTGTCACTCTAGATGACGAAGCGTGAGGTTACGAACGCAGGCTGCTGCTGTCCATTGAGATTTGTTGGCTCTATTTCGTATTATTCGAGCTATTAATTATTTTGTTTGAAAAGTTCTTATGTATTTAGTTGAATTATATTATGACAGAAAGCATTATAGGTTTTCCCTTCGTCGAATTTCGGTATAAATTGCATCGGTGAATCGTGAATGGTGATGCCGTGCCGACTGCCGAACTTGTGCAAATTGTAAACAAGTTGGGGTATTTGAGGCACCTAGGTATAATCTCATTCATTTAGGATTTACTGAAGTATTAAAATTGTTGCGCTGATATTTGGCCATAATCTGTGAATTACTGGTTCCTACTGTTGAATGTAAATGAGTAAAATAAGTGTTAATTGTATTGTGCTTAGAATTTTCTAAACAAGTGCAAAGGGTGAAACGGTGAATTATATCCAAGAAGCCAGAAGGCAAGAACTATTTTGAAAACAGCCTAACAAGTATTAAATTTTCCAAAATAAATCAAAGCCAGTTGATGAAAAGATTCAATCCTTTCAAATTACAGCAGTTACAGCACCATTGAAATCAATTGTTTTACAATCATGTAGGACTCAAATTTTCTGCGTTGTGCAATATCTATTCATTGCTCCTTGACTGAAGTCTGAAAACTTGATATCATTATCATCCATCAATCACATGTGGCTTATTCATTTGTAAAGCCCATTATAAACGTGTCACGTGTGTTTTGATAACACGAGTTTATATTCAATATTGGGCTATGAAAAAGTATTGCTTTCTCATGACTCATATCATATTACTTAGAAAGTTTCCAATCCAAATGAGTTGGAGTTTTATATGCTGTTTATAAGTAAGGCATGATAGATATTAGATAGGTAGTCCACACTCCATAGGTTTGCTATTTGTCACTGTTCAAATTGAGTTCCAAAAAATATGCACTGCTGTATGGATAATTGAATGTGTCACAGCTTATACCGGTATCATACCGGTATAATCATACGGTGCTCCATCTTCAGGCCAACTCTCTTATTAGCAAAAAACAACATGGATTTGTGGACGGGCGTTCCTGCACAACGCAGCTTCTTGACGTATTAGACAGGTGGACTAAAGTGCTTGACCTTGGTGGTTCAGTGGACGCAATTTACTTGGACTTCCAAAAGGCCTTTGACAGTGTGTCATATCAACGTCTGCTCAGTAAGGTAAAGGCCTATGGAATTGGTGGCAAGGTGCATGGGTGGATAAGCAATTTTTTGACAAATCGTACTCAGCGTGTGGTAGTGAACGGCTCACATTCAGACCAGGCATCTGTCATCAGTGGTATTCCTCAAGGATCGGTCTTAGGACCAGTGCTCTTCGTGTTGTACATTAACGATTTGCCTGGATGCATTCAGAGTGACATGCGTTTGTTCACGGACAATGCAAAAGTATTCACAAGAAGTGATAGTGAATCCGCCACGGTGGTGCTCCAAGAAGACATCAATAGACTGCTGATGTGGTCTGAGCGGTGGCTGCTACGTTTCCATCTGGAAAAGTGTAGTGTTTTGAAAGTTGGAACAAAGAAGAGTGAGGCATCCTATCGCATGAACAGCACTGTACTTGCAAACTCAGAGGTTGAACGTGATCTTGGAGTTCTAGTAGACAACAACCTGTGCTTCAGAAACCATGTTGCCCAAATGTCCGCCAAAGCCACCAGAGTTGTCGGTATCATCCGTCGTAGCTTTGACTGCCTCACAGAACCTGTGTTTGTTCAGTTATATAAGGCGCTTGTATGCCCACTGTTGGAATACGGTCACTCTGTGTGGCAGCCATACAACAAAACACTCTGTGCGGAGGTCGAGGATGTTCAAAGAAGGGCGACCAAGCTGCTGGCATCACTTAGCAACCTAGACTACCCGGCTCGGCTAGCCGCTCTGCACCTACCAAGTCTCGAACACAGAAGAAAAAGAGGCGATCTCATAGACTGTTACAAATACGTCCATGGAGTGTACAACACCGCATCACTCTTCAAGCTGTCCACCAGTGACAGAACCAGAGGCCATAGTTTGAAACTTGTTAAAGAGCAGTGCAGTCGCCAGGTATGCTTGAATTTCTTCTCCGTCAGAGTGGTGAACGTGTGAAATAGCCTTCCTGAGCTGGTAGTTAACGCCCCCAGTGTCAACTCATTCAAGTCTCGCCTGGACGCTCACTGGTCTAACCTAGCCACCAAGTACGACCCGGACTGCTATCACTAAACTCGTACTTGGAGCCCACCACGCATGTTGCTTAATACGACGTATCACCATGATTGGTGAACAGGCCTCTAATAAGGCCTTCAACACCTCAACCCGTCAAAGTCAAAGTCATGTGTCTTAGCAACTCTGCCTGCTGGCTCAGCCTGGCTGATGCCATATCTAGATTACTTCCTAAGTTCCTGAGTTGGATTAGATCTATGAATAAGTGCCAAATGTGTCATGGACCCCTTTAATGATAGATATATAAAAGACAAAATAAAGTTTTCCTTCTCATAGTAAGCATGGTTTAAAAATATAAAAAAATCATAATTAGGAATTTCAGCAGTTGAGATATTATGAAAAATTGACCTGAATAATTTTGTACTTAATTTGCCTATTTACAAGTTGAGTGATCATTTGATAAGAATATTACTTTTATTTTGATTGATTGTTAATGCAGTTGTTTCCCAAAATGTTGGGACCTCACATTTTTTACGGTGGACATTGTTGTATTAAAGTATTATGTATGTAATGTTAGAAATTCTAACTTAGAATTCCCATGTCTGGTCTTTCACTGACATTACAGAAATTGTAAAAATTTTAAAATGTGCTACTGCCACATGAGGTATCTGGTATTCAGCCAATGCACAGTCTGGAATGTTCTATATACATATATACGTATGCTAATTAATTGACAGAAAGCATGTGTGTGTAACTGGAGCTGCCAGTCATAAGGTGTTAAAATTTGTTTGTGCCTGACGCCGGCTCCGGTGCACTAGTGCCCAATTTGCTTCTACAAACTTCTAGTCATGATCTTAGTGTGGCACGGCTATGGAACCAATGTGTATAATTATTTAATTGGATAATTGATCTTAAATCATGATTACTATTCTATTTTCCACAGACTATTGTTTTATTCTCTGTATTTCCTGCAACCATGTGCAATATGATGGCCAGAAATGCAATTAGTTATGTCTGACCTTTGATGTTGTTTTGTTTTTGAAAATTATTGTGTTTTTATTTCATATTGTTTGAGAGGTAATAAGTTCAGCATGCCAAACAGTCATCGTTTCATCGAAGACCAGTATGGGGACATGCTCGTCTCTGTGTCTGAGTTTATTAATGGTAAGTTAAGTAAAGTTTAATAACCTTAACTTTCTTATTAAAAAGATAAATTAAGTTTTTCAATGGTAAATTGCAATACATAACATTGTTGCTCAGGAGCTGTTTTATTGTTGGTCCGTGCCTGAAATTTGAAAAAAAATTTAGGAGTCTCTTTGATATATCAATATATTAGTATATTTCTCCATATTTTATATTGAGGAGGAAAGAATTGAATACTAAATTTAAGTCTTGGTAGAGTCTTCACCTTCTCTGGCAAGATAACATCTTCATGATGAAAATTACTGTTTTTCTTATGAAAATGTTTTTAAGCCGGAAAACAAATATGTTTTGAATCCTCTTTTGTTTGTTGACTATCTGCGTCTCAACTAAATGATGATCTGTCCACCCCCAGATCGGTTCTACTTCGTAACTCTGCGGCATAACGTTAACCCGAAGAGCACAGCTAACACTCATTACTTTTGTACTGACTCTGAGCTCACTTATGACAACTTCTATGATGACTTCGGCCCACTCAACCTTGCCATGCTCTACAAGTACTGCATCAAAGTCAACAGGAAACTCAAAGTGAGTACATTCTAGACTAAACGATAATTTTATGAACGGCCGACCGTATTTCTTATCATTTATATTGCTGATCCATATTTTTCAGTATAATTGTCAATCTCACCATACTTACCCCTCTATTCTCAGTTTGTTTCGACAATGTCTGCAGTTGCAACAGCCTGTTAATATCGAGCCTTAATGGAGCTGTGTTGTGTAATTTAAAGCTCCTAGGCATATGTCAGACCCTGCTCCTCAAGCATTTTAATTGTATGTGAGCCTTCTTTGTCTCTTATGAATGAGGTTAATTAATTTGGCTTCTATGCGCTCCTCACGTCGAACAAAATAATGTAAAATGAATGAATAAAAGTAAATGTCGCTATTAAATTAAATACTTCAGTTCACGAAATGAAAGTGGCTGTGGTTAATGAAACTAATGTAAAGTTTTACGCTGAGTATCACAATTGCGACGTAGCTCCAACAATGAGCGATGCAATCATGCAGTCGGCGTGAGAAGTGCAGTGCGCGAGCAAAACATGGGGCGTGTCGTTGTTGCCTTAATAAGCTCAGCCCGTTCAATGCAGTGCACGATAAAAACATTATTACAGTCGACAAATGAGCTTATTACTGTGTTTTCCTGCGTAAGAACACTGTTGTGCTTTGTTATTTCTAAAACACTAGCCATTATATATGCTTGACGTTGCTCGGTGATGACATTTGTCCAAGATTTGACCGAATTTCGTCTGAGATTTTCCCAAAATTGATCAGATTTTCACGATATTTTATCTTAGATTTGTTTGAGATGTATTTAAACTACTTTACTCGAGATTAGTCTGAATTTGTCAGAGTTTTTTTTCCACCTCTGTCCGAGATTTGCCTGGAATTTGATCAAACTTATTCGAAGATTAGTTAGAATTTTGAACTTATTCCTAATTTCATTCCACGTGTCTTAACATTTTCCACGATTTGTACGTGGGAGACGACTCAGACGAGTCCGAACTTTATAATGGCGTTGTTCGAACTTTGGTCCAAAATATGCTTCAACTTGGTCCTAATCATTTCCGATATTAGTCCGAATTCTACCGTAACTTTGTCCGGGATTGAAGCCTGCGTGGTTGAGGCTTGAGTGCAGAACGAGTAAAGCAAAGGAAATCCTGAGTTCTATATAAAATTCGTCAATGAATGTAACCAAATGAGGCTTCAAACAAACCCATAAAAAAAAACAAAAAAAAAACGAGCGTTCTGAAACATGCAATATGTGCTTTCCATACTCTTTCGCTCGTTCCGCTGTTTCGCCATCAGTTCTTCGCATTATAGCAAAGCGGCCTACGAATCTCTCTGGCCGAGCGTAGAGTAGCACTCCAGGTGTGAAGGCGAGTAGCTTGCTTACAAACTTCCATGCCATTGTAGTGATTTTATTTCACTTCGAGCGAATCGGTTCCGTACTTGTACTTGTTTTCATTCGCAAATAGTTGCGATTATTCTAGTCATCTAGTGTAAGGTTTCTGAAAGGACTATATCTATTTGGGCCTAAACTTAGTGAAAATCCCGGCAAGAGTTTTTAATGTTAATTAAGAAAGTCGCCTGTTAGAATTCAAGCGAAAGATTTTTATTATTATTTGATATCAGTGCATGAATGCATCATTGCTCATGTTGATGGGATCAGCAATCATATTATTCGCAGTGAACTTCCGTTTGGTGTCGCAATGACGCAGCATTCTTCTGCTGTATGCGGCCGCTATTTTTTTTTATTCCAACGACCCATTGATTGGGTGGCACAGGACCGGCGCATTTCAACTAAAAGTTACGCCCGTCGTCCATCACCATTGTCGCGTGGGGGGGAAGCTTAGTGTTCAGTGGCGTTGGTTTGTTGCAGAACTCGCGTGTCGCGCGCCAGCTTTGCTTCTTCGCTCAATGCTCGGCTCCCGTCGCTCTCTTCTCAATTTATACGCAAGTTTATGCCTTTTTTTGTATGGCCTTTTAACTCCGCTGCTCTGAAGTGTCCTTAATATCCTTCTCTGATCAGGATTCTCCTCACTACAATGTTGTTTTAATACCTTATTGTCAACGGAGCCTATGTTTCTTCACATTGCACGCTCTGTTATATACGCATGCGCTAAAGTTGATGTTGCGACAAGCGTGTCGTGCTCTAGGATATTCTTATGCTGTTGTTTGATGAACCGTATTGTTGTACTGAACTTTGCTGCCTCGTTGGCTGTGCGTGCAGCCGTCCCGCGCCACGGACGACTTACGCCCCATAAGGCAAATGCTTCAGACTAAAAATCCTTGTTGCAATGCCGCCTTGCTGTTGTAGGCCTTCTATTGTGCGCTTTGATAAGTTTTGCTACATGTTCATCGAGTTTCGTTACCAGGCGAGCAGCATCTTGAAGAGTTGCCGTCTTGCCGTTCATATTCCAGCTATTTTATTATCTTATATTTGTCCTACTTTTTCGTTTTTGGTCGTTGAATGTGAATCTGCACCAGGAATTCTCTAAGCGTTCATTCTGCATAGTACTTATGTTGAATTTCCTTTCTTCTCTATTAAATACGATCGTAGAGGCAAACATCAACGAAAATATTTAGGCCTCAGTCATTTGCTCTGCACCCCTTTCCCCCTGGCCGCGGCTGGGAATATCGCTCAAGAGCTTAGCTAAATTTCGCAGCGATGCCGGTCATTTCTCGAGGGAGCTGCTGTGCCTCAGTGATACGTGCATGCTGCTCGCAATGATGGCTTACCGGCCGAGCCCTCAGCTGGTGTGGAGAGATTGTGCCATGCACTGCCTTGTATGCAGGCTAGCGCTTGTAGGCGTGTGTTGTGTAGGCGTCCTCAGCGCTGCACGCTGCCTTGCTTTAGCGCTCTGTTGTGAGCCTTGTGGTACACGAGTGTAGCGCTGTGTACGCGCGTGTGGCGCTGTGTTGTGCTGTGTTGTAGGCGCGTGTGGCGCTGTGTTGTGCTGTGTTGTAGGCGCGTGTGGCGCTGTGTTGTGCTGTGTTTTGCTGTGTTGTAGGCGTGTGTGGCGCTGTGTTGTGGTGTGTTGTAGGCGTGTGTGGCGCTGTGTTGTGCTGAGTTGTAGGCGTGTGTGGCGCTGTGTTGTGCTGTGCTGTACACCCGTGTGGCGCTGTGTTGTGCTGTGTTGTAGGCGCGTGTGGCGCTGTGTTGTGCTGAGTTGTAGGCGCGTGTGGCGCTGTGTTGTGCTGTGCTGTACACGCGTGTAGAGCTGTGTTGTGCGCGTTTGCCGAATTATTTTCAGCGTTGATTGCTCAGCGCGTGTGCGGGGTGCTGCTTCTAAGCGTCGTGTTCAGCAGCTTGTGTTGTAAGAGTGCTTGCGCTTGAGGTCGTTGAGCAACATTTAAAGCAAGCATTGTCTAATGTCTGCAGTCCCTGAGTCTCTATTGCAATTGCCGTCATTCGTTCTACTTGCATTGTCTGACTTCTTTGTTTCCGGACGCGTATTCAGTTGTAGGCACTTTTCATATCAAACAAGCTGATATATCTATTATAAAAGAATTGGTATTCAAAGTTGTAAGAGGCATTTCGAAACTATAGGAAAAGGGCTACATGATACTGAAGCCAGTACGTGTTTGTCAAATTTTATCACAATTGAACAGAAGTTATACATAGTTGGCTCAAGTTGCCCGTTAGTTGGGTTGCAATAGTTCCGTAAGATTATACTGGAGTGTGTGGTTTTACTTACTTCAACATGCGGAGTATCTCCTACATATGAAATGCTCGGCTTCGCCATCTCGTAATGTTGAAGCCTGGAAGAATTTTCTCCCAGTATCATGCATCAAATTTGAACCTTATTCCTCGTTATTTGAATAAGGGTCATCGCGCGAACTTGACCCGCACGTCTTTTGGGTGATCATCTGATGCCGCCACATGACCTTCATGACCAGTCGGTGTCGATTAGCTTCAGAACTTCTGAATAATCTTTTATATATATAATCTTTTAGTGAGGTTTCTATGCTGCCGTGCCAGTCATTCCTTATAACGGTTCTTGCGAAAAAATTTTCAAGTATCTTCGGAATGTATCGCTGAGAACATCAACACATATTTTTTCGTCGGTGGAATTTATCCCTAAGCTCTGAAGAACTCTAAGAAGAGACTTAGAAGCGACGAATCAGCTGGTTCGTCCGCTGGCATCTTGAGCGTCAACAAGTCATATGACAAGGAGACAAGTCGTCGTCAATCCCACGTTGCCGCGGTCCAGTTGTCCACAACTTTACAGTTGTACAGTAAAGTTGTAGCAGTTGCCGTGATGTTTACTCACAGTTATTCTGTTGCGTCATCTGTTGGGGCCGACCACAGCTGCCTCTGTCTTACGTGTGTGCATGTCTATTTTTTGCACTTGAATTATTCTTCAGTCATTCATGGTAATAAGTGAGCAAGGATTTGTGTATCAATTATTGCGTGTATTGAACAAACGACTTTTATTTCATTGATTCCACTATGATCCTATCTCTCCCTCTCTCCGCACTCGTTATACTGTATATATAGGCAGGGTTTTTCGGAGGCTCGGTGAATTAACCTTTAAGAGGAGACCTCTTTACTCCGAGACGATGATTGATCCGGTAACTTTCTTCAATCTTTGAACAACATGACTCAGCCCCGGCCTTTCGCTCGGCAAGACTTTAGAGTCGTGCAGTCTTCTCTTGTGTTATCGTAATGACGTTGCCACTGAAACATCACCTAACAAATATTAGGAAAATAAGCTATCAGTAAGTATTTGTTTCACCTCTGTACTATACCAATGGAAAAGTTCTTATGTTACTTACCATTAATAATCAAGTTCTTAAGTTCTCAGCGGAGGCAAGATTCGGTTTCTTGCGTCAAAGAAACTATAGAAGATCAGATGATCTTTACATGCTCTGATTTCTGCTTCTGCCTGTAGCTATTACAGACTTCCAATTAAACACGACATTCGATGTCTGCTTCTTAAATAAGGCTCGAATAATTTGTCTCGTCAAGCGACTTAACATATAGTGCATTTAGGGATCGAACACTCAACATTTCTTTTATAGAA